CTTGCTGGAAATGCTCTAAATGAGAGGTTGGAAAAGGTTTCAGACATATCCCAGGTCAGGGTCCATATAATTATTTGTCAGTTTGTGAATCTTACGTTACGACGCGGTGGTGGCGTAGCCAAATTTTGTTACGATACTGATTTTAGGTTTTCTGTTTATGAGTTTGGATAATCATGTTGTAGCGTTGGATGGATTTTTTTTTTTTTTTTGGACACAACAGTGATACTGAAATAGAAGTTATTTTAAAACTCCAATAGCCAAATGGTAAACCCATAAATATATTTTAGGGAAGAACTTGGCTACATTTTATACTTAATAATTAAAAACAAGTTCTCATAAACACATTGTTGATACTCTTTTTGGGAGGCTCAATTTAGAGAGAAGTGTAGAATCTTCAGCAGAGAAAAAGGTGGGGACCTTCGGAGTTGGGAGAACTTGCTGAAGACAAGGAGGAAGAAACAACCGTCAAACTTCGGACACCGGTGTGGTATCTGTCGAAGGCTATCTGATACTTAAGTCAGCTATATGTGGTAATTTTGGCAGAATAATAGTAAATGTGAGAAAATAGTTACCTTTTTTACTCGGGTACTGTTCATTATTTATAGGAAAGTGAAAATAGGAGTTTTGCACAAAGTTTCGATGTGAGACTTTGTGTAAGTTGTTGTGGTGGTGACACGTGTCCTATTAGGTTCAGCATTCGAGAGCTTTGGCAGGTGTCTGCCACTTCGGAAGAATGTTTTCCTTCAGCATGGGAGAATGCATGTCTGCTTTGGTGCTAGTCGTTTTGATGCTAAATATGCTCAGTTGATTATAGTGTAAACACACATGATATATCTATACATTGAAACATGACGGGAACTTTATTATTATTCTAAACTTTAGAACTTATAATACAAAATACAGAAGAAGAAAAAAACCATTTTATGAGGACGCTAGAAAATCGTAGAATGAATTAAAAACTGAACAATGCAAGTAGAAAAGGTGCCTTCTAGGGCATTAGCTGGTTCTATGGTGCCTCAGAGGCGCTCTCTTAATCCTTCATGCGAAAAGAAGAAAAAATTGTGTTGGAAAGATCAAGAAAATCACTAAGATATAAATTTGTTCATCTTTCAATTTTCAAGATTGGGCCCAAATAAATTCTTGGCCTAATGCGACACCTTATTAAGAAAAGACCCGATTCGGAGCATGCGAAATTCGTCATGCACGCTTTCACGAGCCACAACCGCCTGCCATGCCAAATAAATATGCAATTTATCATGCTAAGAATTAAAATAAGCCTATAAAAAACATTGGCTCTACAAGCTCATGCTAATTATTTTGTCAAGCATTATGTCTCTTTTCAAAGACTATAAAATTCAAGCACACCAATTGACATGTCATGCCAAGCAGGAAATCATTATTTCACACATAGCCATACTACAAGCTTAAGTGGGCCCAAACCACGCAAATGTCCGGGGCTTGCTTGAGTGGGTTGTGGTATGGATGGTAACGAGCTTTCATGGGGCTTATTGATGAGCCAAGAAATGGAAGTTTGGGGCTGCTTGGGAGCCCCAAAACTCAAGCTCATTTTTTGAGCCCAAACACATGGGTTAACATGAGAGAGGGGAGAAAATGATCCAATGCCTTAGGAGGATATCTAATAGTCTGCCATAACACTTAGACAAAGCTAGCATCAATAAAATGCCCAAAATTAAATAGGCTATTCCCAGCAGCTTGACAAAAACCCATTAAGCGCTGGAAATAACGTGTTGACAGCCCAATATTGCACACGAGTCCAGCCCAGCAACTTGTAGAAAAGCTGTCACCGTGCTCCACCCTTGTTAGGACTCCAAGATGGTCAAATAGGAAGCTATGACAGAGACCAACGAAAACCCATGAGTGTAGGAAGAATACCCATCGGACAAAAGCCTCTATCCATCTTCTTTTCCACTGCTCCATCTTGAAAAACCAGAGGGAAAGCAGGTGGCGCTTCACCCTTATGGAGAAGACCAGCTGTGTCAAAACCTTGGAACCACAAAGGGCTCTTGACCCATGCACCTTGGATAGGAAAATTGCATCAAATAAAATCAAGTGGGAAGGAGCAACGAAAATGGAGAAGAAGGTTAGATGAAATTAGGGATTCTTTATGCCTATAAAAGGGAGCTTCTTCTACCCAGCAAAGTCATCATCCAGAGCTTGACTAAGCTTTGTCAAGCAAACTGGGAATTTTACTCAAGCCACCCAATTTTGGCCTCTAGTTGTTTCATCTTCTTGTTAGGAAGAAATCCTCCTAATTTTCCTCTGCCCTACTCCAAATCTTCGTTCTCTGTAAGAAATTCGTGCTTCTCTCTCTCTTTCTCTCTCAAATTGCTAAACTTGTGAAAACTTAGCTCCTATGCCATAAGCTCCTCATGCTAAGCCATTAATAAATCTATCATGTTTATTTGGCTATTGGTGAAAAGAACCTGAGGGTGTTTTTCTAAGGTTTCATCAAACTTTTCAAAAACTCTTTTAGGAGTTTGGTTTCTGAACTCAGATACTTGGGGAATTTTTGTTTGTTTTCTTTTTACGGCAGCCCAAACCCGTTCGTCAGGCTGATGGAACAAAAAGACTCCCACAATAATCTAAATGACGTCTTATTTGCTAGATGCATTTTGAGGGGTATGACTCATTATCTCCTCATTACTAGGTATATCATATTTTGTTGTCAATGAAATTCACTCGTATCATTGAGTTTGTTTGTAAGGTAAATTCAACTAAGTCTATTTTGAAATCTTGGATCCGTCTCTAATCCCAACATGTGTTGAGTTTTATTACAAAAGTTCTTGTTGTTTATTTATTTATTTATTTATTATTATTGGAAAAAGAAACCTTACAACCTGAAACCACGATACTATACCAAAATTCACTTTAGGCAACACTTAATAGGCATCGGTAAAACATGAAATCCATGATATTAGTCTCTTGGGCTTCAATTTTATAAAAACCGAGGCCATAGGGATGTAGAGACATCACAACCAATATTGCGCAATATGGGCCGATACCTTTATATGGAAGTTCCATTGATCGATATTTGAATTGATGTCATATATCTTTCATGTTTTAAAAAAATAAAAAATAAAAGTTTCAATGACCGATGCGTTATACCCAGGTCAAATCCCCCACAAAATTGTTATCGTTTTCCTTCAAAAAATTGCTCCTTTTCCCTAAAAAAATTTCACTAAGTCTTAAACCTAACTCTCACTCTCTCTCTCTCTCCTCTCCCTGTAAAAAAATCCCAAAGTTCTTCTCTCTGCTCTTAACTCTCAAAAAGAAAAAATCGTGAGATAACAACTGCCTGCTGCCGCTACCAGACTCAAAAACAAGAGAAGAATCAACCTGACCGGTGGAGGGGTAAGTCTGAGTCAGCAGCCAAACACAAAAAAGTCGTCAGACGTAGGAGAACCTGATTCGAGTGCATCCAGGGACAGCGAAAGAAAGAGGCTGAAGTTGATTTCTGACCGTAGACTTTGGCCAGCAAAACAAAGCAACCGCTTCGAGGTAGGAGAATCTTAACTCATTACTAGCAACGATAAAAAGATTAATATTTCTCAAAATCGATCCTTTCGTCTCTCTCTTTCTATGTTCATAGTGGATACAAAATACCCAGATTCTTTTTTAATGTTTTAATTTTTTTTTCAATTCAATACAAAAATAAACTTCTGTGGCGGAGCCACCATGGGGTCAAGCGAACCCTTGGCAGCCATGAAAGTGGCTGTGTAGGGCCTGGTGTGCTGCTGATGTGACCCCTTGGACTTGCCCACCAGCTGTTCAATGGGAAGCTCCAAAGAGCTTCCCCATGTTTCAGAAGAGAGCAACTTTTTTGCATATGTTTCCCCAAAGTTCTTCTCTCTCTGCTCTCGACCTCTCAGTCGTGACTGTTCCCCTATGGCTGGCTCTCAGTCGTCTCTGATCTTGAACTCTTCTCTCCCTCCTTGCGAAGGCTCAAGGGTTTAGGTTCCTAGCTTGGTCCTTTATCACTTCGTTTTGACAGAAACTATGTGATTGATTTATATATGCTGTCTTGTACGTAGATCCATTAACTCAATTTTCAGAAGATTGCTTCTTCAATTCCCTTGGAGGATACTTGAGGGATGTTGGCGCTGCGTTAGAATTGTTAAGAGCTTCAGAAATCACCCTACATCCTGATGAATCGGTTCTGGAGAAACTAAATTACTGGACGCGTCGCTTCCTGAAACAAGAATTATCCTCTAATTTAATTCAGGCGCATAGACTCAATAAGCATATTGCCAAGAGGTAGCTTACTATATATTTAGTGTTTTAGATTTGGTGATGTAGCTTTATCCTAAATTATATTCCTCCCTAAAACTGAAACTTTTTTATTATTTTCAGGTGGATCATGCTCTTAAGTGTCCTTACCATGCAAACTTGGTTCGGTTGTCAATCAGGTAAGTTATGAAGCATTACAACGCAGATAGTTCAAGGATTCTAAAATCTTCTTACAGGTAAACAGACTTCTACTAGTTTCTTACTCTAATTAATTCTCCTTCTTCATTCTCCCTCTCTTTTAAGAGAGGAAATTGAGTTCTGTTGAATTAGTCAGTATATATATTAGAATATCAACTTTTGAAACTCTTTATAATTGACCTTTTTGTGACAAATTCTGCTGCTTTCAATCAAAAGACAAGGAAAGCAAAAATTGAAAAACTAGCAACAGTTTGCCATTAGAAGAGTTGGCTTGTTCTTAAAACATGACTGTTAAGGGGATTTATCAAGTTCCCGTGTTTGATTTCTCTAATCTGTTTGCAGGGTGGCAGTTCACATCAACTGTACAAGTCAGTTCATTCACAGGTAAGAACATGCTGAGCTAGCATACCTTTTATACCATAGGAAAGAAATGAGTTCAAACATGACTTTATGTTAAAAGGCCACTTATTCGTTTGTGCTTACAATCCAGATTTTCACACTGCCAAAGAATACGTTGATCTATCCTGCTCATGATTACAAGGGATTCAGCGTATGGAACTCTCTATTGTCTATTTCTTCTGTACCCTGTATACCGAGGCAGCTTCTTACGCCACATATTTGCTTGAGATGCAGGTTAGCACCGTTGGGGAGGAGATGCTTTATAATCCTCGACTCACAAAAATAGTTAGTACTGGTGTTGCACAGATGTTGTAAAAGAATGCTGAATTTTAAGGGAAAGTAGTGAGAAATAGATTTTTCTTTTATGTGAGATACTAGCTGAATAAATTAGCAGTCACTGTAAAGAGTCTTGACCATAAGCGCTGCATAGATGCACTTTTATTTTTCATTTATCATATGAGTATTTTAACACTTCTTCCCTATATGTATCTAACTAGTTTAATTTTGAACTCTTTTTTACAGGAAGCATTTCAAAATATCATGGAAAGTAAGTAAAACTATCTAGCATCCAATTTTTTAGAAGTAACCATGTCCAGTTTTAACTTTCATTTCATTGATTATATGATATATCCAACCATTTTAGGTTTGAGTTAAGAAAAATGATGTTTCTTAGACCCAGAAGGCTTTATTGTTGGAGTTGGCTCAATGGGTTTAGTCTTGCGCTTCCAAAGAAAAAAAATACTAAAATACTAAAAACTAAAAGCTACTAAAATACTAAAATACTAAATTGTTAAAATCAAGAGGAAACATAACACTGCCTGCCTAGCCATTGAATTAAGAAGAAATGCTAGCTGTTCTTGTCCAGCTCTCCACCCCATCACATGATCATTTAATTGCTAGTTGAAACATGAAGTGGGATCCATTTAATGAGTTTTCTTCTTATTTCTGTTTTATAATTCATTTCTTTATATGTGTTTTTTATATGAACCTCAATTCAAGTTGCAGGAAAGTCAAGAGAGGATATTTGGATGTAAGCCATTCCCTTTTGTTTTTCAATTTGGTTTTTTATTTCTAAGAAGGCAGATGCTCATATCAGATTCATAAGAAAATGGAATAATCATTTTGCTGAATATATTGATTCATGTAAGAATTTGTTTCTCCCAAGTGTCAACTAACATATCAGTCCCCATTTATGTAAAATTGTATAGAAATGATTTAATAGATCTTGAGCATGTATGTATGGATTGCTTGTTCTCTATTTGTTTTATCAAGCTAGAACAACCTTCTTAGATCCCAAAATTTGCACATAATCTGTAATCTCACATTCCCAATTGTTGGATGAACAATTCTTGTATCGGCTTTTGTTCAGGTCACTAAAGTAGTTATTTTTTATGCCTTTGGCTGAAATGAAGTGCTATGCTATCTAAATGGCAGATTAGAACCAGAATGCAGAAATCTTTGAGTTGAACAATGGAACTGGAAAGATGGTATCAAAATGAATCTAAATGGCAGTATTACTGTCCAGTTTTATATCAAAAGTGTATTTACTTATGCTGTAATCAATTTTAGGATGGGCATTTGAGAATTTTGTAGTGTCCAAGCTGGCGAATAATTTTAGATGAACCAATTGTTCACAAGTCTCTTCACGATTTGGATTTCAGGTGAGGAAAATGCTTGTTGATTGTCTTGTGTACATTTAAATACAGGACAACAATGCATAAGAATATGCTATAATCAGATATATGTTTACATTTTGTTGGATTGGGGCATTATCAACAAAGATCTGTTTTGATTTCTCTCTTTCTCCTTTTACTTGAGGGTTTTTTTAATTCAATTTTGCTTAGGCTGCATGCAGTAAGTGTCATTGTTCCTCTTCTCCTCTTGATTCGTGTAACTGTCATTGTTCTTATTTCACATATTTTAAACTAAATTGGGGCCTTTGTTGTTTGCAGGTAATAATACAGTCAGAATATTGGGGGTGGGAGTTGTTTCGGCTCTGCTTGTTGATGGTTACAGTACAAGGTTTACTAGCCTTCATGTTGTTGGTGGTATCTACTATCTAGTGTTTCATATTTTTTAAACTGTAAAAGGGAGACTATTTTTGTCTTTTTCCCTCTATAATGAAATACAAATGCATTGCAATTTATCCACTTTTGTTTTTTGAGAACATTATAGTGAATCTGTATTTTTTGTAAATGATTGAATTCCAATTGTATTGCTCTATTTTTTTTTATGTGCAATGGGTAACAATTCATGATTTGGATTGATATTCTAAGAGTAATAAAGTATAATTTCTAAAATCAACATCAGCACTTCATGAGAACCGAAGCCTATAATCGTAAGGGTCAATAATATTTGTAGAAAGGAAAACCATTTGTAGGCTTTCCACTTCACCATAAACATAAAAAATGAAGGCGTAGACCATAAGTTGCCACAGCAGTAGTATTTTTTCTGATGTGATAATTCATAACACACATCAGTATAATCAAAATCCTTGATGTTATAATGAGTATTTAGCATCAATGCTAATATATTCCTTCATGCTATTAAAGGTTTAGGCATTGGAGGTCAACTTTTTTTGGCACGTGGTAACAACTTACTCATCGGAGATTATGTAAATAACAATGCCGTAAATAATCTTTAGCAACGGATAATATCCGAAGCGTATGACTATATCATACGCATCGGTTCTGCAACTCAGCTGCTATTTAACCCTAACCCTCTAATTTAAAATATACAAATTTATAAATAAACCCAATCCTAGACATGTATTTATAAAAAAACTCAAGCACTATTTAAACATAGAAACACACCCAAAATCAACCCCAAAGTCAACTTTTTGGGTGTGTTTATAAATGGGTTTTGAGTGTGTGTAATGATGGGTTTTGGGTGTGTTTATAAAGTGTTTTGGGTGTTGGGTTTTTTTATAATTTCAACCTCCATTTTGGGTGTTTTAGTGAAACTCCCTAAATACATGTCTAGGATTGGGTTTATTTATAAATTTGTATTAAAATATTCCAAAAAAGGTAGACAACAGAGAGCCACACAAACTGCTTTATCTTTTTACGCCTCTTGCTTAGTAAAAACTAAATTGTTAGTGATTTACTGTTGCACAAGGTAAACTAACTTAAACCTATTCAATGTGAATGTAAATGCGTCAAGGAGCATGTCAATCCAAGATGAAATATGAAGAACAGAAGCAATTAATTGAGGAAAGCATTATTCAAGGAAAGCATCATAAGATGAAAATTGATTTGCACTGATAGACCAATAGATAGAAGATTTATAGACATCATTATTTAAAGGGAGTTGACGCAGGATCAATTGAAAGATCAATTTAGGACATTAGGAGAGAGCAAAAGAAGCAAAACAGAAACTGAAAGTACAGATATTACTCATTTTTCCCTTTAATCATGTGTGTTTATATTTTGTCCCCTTTAATCATTTTTCCTCATCAAAGATTCCTTTCCACCATTTATTGCTCTCTCACTACTACAAAAATTGAAATAGACAACGAGAATCCACCGTCGTCTTATAAACCATTGTAAAATCGACATCCATCTTTTAATACATAAAACGATGACGGCAAATAAGCGACATCGTTAAGACATACCACGTCAAGTCAAAAGACAAACCGACATCTAATTACTATATAAACAACAAAAAAGGAAAACTTCAACAACCTTAGATGAAGGTTTTATAAAAATAGAGACGTCTAAAGATTGTTACATGTCAAGAACTATATACATGCCGATGTAAAAACGGTTACCCACGTCTTTATTTGAAAAAATACCGTAGTTTATAACGTTGAAACCGCCGTGGTTAATATATACTACATTTACTAAACTAAAAAGCCGACGTCTAAATTCCATAAAAACGCAAAAAAAGGAAAACTCCGACAATCTTAGACGATGCTTACAGAAAAGAACAGACGTCTAAAGGTTATTACATGTCAAGAATTATGTCGTAACCGACGTAAAATAAATTAACCACGACACAGGGGTAGAACAACGCCGCTTATAACATCTTCCACATCGCAACTCAGGAAAACACCGCCTTGTTAAAGGTATTCCACGTCGGCAAAAGCAAGAGCCGACATTCAAAAGCAATATTAACGTCATAATTTGTTAAAAGAACAAAGTTATTACCAATATACGACGGCATATTCTTACTAGAACCAACATCTAAATGATTTTTAAAAAGCCAAAAATTACAACTTGGACAATGTTAGACGACTCTTTTTGGAAAACTTTGACGTCTAAAGTCTTTAACATGGCACAACTTTATTACACGCCAACGTAACATTCCCTAACCACGACCCGAGTATTTATCCACGGTCGTTAAAAATAATTTTCACGGCATGAAGTGCAGGTAAACTGCCGTGGATCAAAGTTTGAATGGTGGTCAGTATAAATAACGGTTGTGGTAAATCTCTTCACTACGTCTATAGAATCCAATTTATCAACGTTGTTATTTTACTTACCACGTCGGTTGGTGTATAGGATGGAAGTGGTTGGCCTTTTAAAACCCTCATTGACGTGTGTATTATCTGAGACGTCAATTGTTTTCGTTTAACCGATGTTCAGAAGAGCTCTCACAACAGTTAATGGAACTGAGTTGCCTTTATTTCCCTC